GGAAGGCCCCATGCAACAAAAGAACCATTTTAGAGCGTTTTAAGCTCTATCATTTGGTTAAGTGTTGTACATCATAAATCAAAGTTCTTGGTAAGGAATGAGATAGGCTCGGGGAGTCCATTCTTGGACTCGGCGAGTCCAGAGGTTTTGGTCCCATATCAGTAAGGATCGTAAGGACCAGTTGAGTGTGGAAGGGTTTTTAGGAGTCTCGGGGAGTGACCCAACATACTGGACTAAGCAAAGTGTTCTGGGAATTCATTATAGTCGGCGAGTGCATGAACGGGCTCGACGAGTCCAAGGCAATCTTCATGGTAATCGACGAGTTGTTCATACAACTCGGCGAGTCGGATGTGGATTCAGTCGATGTTCTTTTAGAAGGAAAACTCATCGAGTCATCGCCTTACTCGACGAGTAGAGACGAGTTTGAGGTCTAATGGAAGCATAGGGACTCGGCGAGTCAGGTCAACTAGAAGCTGACTTTGATTTTGACTTGGTCAGGGGTAAAATGGTCATTTTACCCTAAGAATAGATGTCAGTTTCTGACTGAGTGTTTTGTGGGAATTATAGCCAGAGGATTTCTGGAGCAGCAGTAGCGGCAGCAGTCAGAGGATTCCCGCACAGTTTAGCAGCTACCACGAGGTGAGTTACCTTCCAGTAGCAGTGGGTCTAAGGCTACAATGCCGACCCACTAGTAGGAGTGTATGTTTAGATGATTGTCTCTGTGATATTCATCTAGGGATGCTACTACCTGTGTTATGTTTATGTGCTAGTATGTTATGATGTTATGTGGTGGTGATAGGGATGAAATAGTCCCCAGTGTCCGGTCGATAGGACCGAAGGGGAGACCAGCACCCAGGTATGCTAGGCAGTAGCCAGTCGAGAGGACCAAAGGGGAGACCAGCACCCAGATATGCTAGTCAGTATCCGGTCGAGATAACCGAAAGGGGTAGGCCGGGCACCCAGATATGCCTGACAATATATGTATGTTATGCGGTTTTTTGGTATGTGGTACGATGGGGGAACTCAATAAGCTTTGTGCTTACGGTTTTCAGTTGTTGTTTCAGGTGCCTCTTCAGCGAAGGGGAAGGAGCTGGCACGGTAGTGACATATCACACACACGCTCTATGTTTTCCGCACTATGAGATATTCTGGGATTTGTACTCTGACATTATGGGTGTTTTTATGTTTTGGTTTCGGACATGAAAGATGTTTATGAAATGATCATGTTTATTCCCCAAATGTTTTCCAAAGTATTGATTTGAAAATGAAATTTTTGGCTGTGAAAATTGGGTCGTTACAAGTTGGTATCAGAGCCCTGGTTTGAGGGATCCGGACACACCTTCGGGAGTGTCTGAACTCAATCCGAGGGATTAAAGGATTTCGAAAAAGAAAAAGTTTTATAAAAGATTAAGTAAAAAGTTTTAATAAAGAACGAAGTGTGTGATATGCACGACCGGCCGAGCTCAAGTAAGTATTCCCCAAAGTACTCATACAATGTTATACTATGTTTATCAGTTTCAGTAGAATAACATGCTAGAATAGGACTAAGGATCTAGGAGGATACCTTACGTGCCTGCTTTTGTGTTCCAGTCTTATGTGAATTGCATGCTAGAAATTGAGTAGACAATAGTACGATAGCCTGTTTAGGTTATGTCTGATAGTATGAGTTCAGCATTGAATGCTAGTGCAGTTTGTCGTTATGAGAATAAACTTCCTTGAGTAGATACTGTATCCGAATGTTGCTTGCTTTGTGCTTTGTGGGACTCCAAGTGATAGAAGTTAGCCATTAGGTGAATACGTCACATCACATGGGATCAGGATTGGATAATCTAAGAGTGTTGGATTTGGCCCGGCTGCGTAGCTCTCGTTTGAGTCCAACCGTGGTAGGGACGAGTCTTTTACTCAAAGGATTATCCGAGCCTCGTCACATGTGATGGTATTCAGGTGATGGCCAATTGGCATTACAATAGGCCTTTAATAGCTGAGAATTGGTTTAAGTGGAGTCAGAGATTTTCCTAAGGGTAAGACTAGGATAAAGATAGAAGTGATTAGCAGCGGTAAAAAGGGATCTGGTCGAGTCAAGGCAGTCCTTGAAGAAGGTACGGATAGATGTGGAAGGTACTATGGGCCCTACTACTGAAAGCAGAGGATCCGTACTCAAACCAAGGAAGGCCGAGATAAGACCAGGGAACTTGTAGTGGATGTGGTTCCTCAAGAGGTATCATTATCGCTAACAATCGTTGTTCACTACAAGAAAAGACCCTTTTACGACGTGCAAACCACGACACTCATTGATTTATGTTACGCAAAAGAGAGTGACATTAAAAAAGTGTCATCTCTTCAAAAAATTTAAGAGTTTAGGTCACGCATTATCGCGTGCCCTTAAATTAGTGTTATAAGAAAAAAAAATTAAAAACACGAAGGGCGCTATATTTTAAATGCGCGTCCTCTATAAGTGTCGCTTTATAATTTTAATGAACACGCATTTAGTAATAGTGGCGAAAATGAAATCCAAATTTTTTTTGAAAATCCGCCTTGTCTTTTCTACCTTCTTTATATCTTTCATCTTTAATCGATTTTCCCCTCTCCCTCCTCTTCGATCCGCTTCTCCCCTACTCCTGACCTTACTTGTTAATCTCATCGGATATCTGCTCTAGTGTCGCTCTGAAGATAAAGAAATTTCAAGCCCTAGTCTCCCTCCGAGATAGAGACGAAAAGAGAAGAAACATGAAGAATGCACCACTAAACCCTAAAAACTCAATCTATCTCCCTTCATTCCCTCACTCCATTTTCTCTGCAAACCGTAAGCCATTACCACCACCATTGAACCCTAAAATCTCAATCCACACTTCATGCTTCTATGATTCTCTCCTCTTCGACTCTCTAATCTCCGATTTCACTCTAAAAACATCGATTGAACTCCTCGCTTCACTTATTGTCTACCAAAAATAAATGTTGATTGCAACCACCTTCAAGCACGATGCCTCTCAGCTACACATCTAGAACAAGAACGTACATACATCACTCTCAAACACCCCACTTAGCTTCTTCATTATTCTTGATGTCATGTGATTTCTAGGGCTCGAAGCAACCTCCTCTATCTTACATTGAAAATCATTTCCGCCTCTCATCGCTGACCGTTTTGGAGCGATTTCTAGGGTTTGAATCAACATTTACCCTTATCGACAATCGATCTGATGCACTCATCACCTTTTGTTACCTTTCGAGAATTCTCTTGATGTACCAGCTGAAGCAGCGTGGCTTAATACATATGAAAGGTTATCACCGCGTTGGAAATCCATTCGTCCTTCCTTCTCAGGTAAATCATTCGTCCTTCCTTCTCAGGTATTGACTGTAGGTTTTGTTTAATTTTCCAGTACACGATGAGTAAATTTGGAATGGGTTACTCATCAATTAGATGAGCTGTATTCATTTCTCCCATGCCACGTTTTGCCCCATACTTTTGTCCTTTGATACAACCGATGTTCCTACTCTCCTTTTTCAGTTTTCCATCATCGCTTCTTCACCTTTTTCATTAAATCCCTCTCTCTCTCTCTCTCTCACCACTAACTTCCTAAACACCACCACCATTTACCGACTCGAGATGAGTGCTTTTGTCATTTGTAGTTCTCCTTTTCAGTTTGGTAGGTTTCATTCTACATATAGGCTCGATTTCAGGTATAAAATCGCCCATAGTCCTGCATTTTCTTTTGTTATCCATTTAAGGGTTTTTGTTATTAAGTTTGTGTCTGATCGATTCACTTGTAATTTTGAAGTTCGACTTTATAGGGTCAGACTTTTAGTTGTGTGTGGCTGTAAATAAAGGTCCGATGTACTCAAACTCCTTTCAGTTGAAGATGTAGCTGAAAAGGTCTATTAAAAACCTAATTTTTAAAAATGTTTGTTGATTTTTCTCAAATGTTTTAGGAGTCTAGGACCCACTATTGGTATTTTCGCAAAAATATACCCATGTCTTGCTTTCTTTGTCTAAAACGAGCTTTTCAAGAATTCATGGTTGGTTTCTGTTTTTATATGTTATACTTTAAGCATTTTCTTTGTCTAAAATGAGCTTCTCAAGAATTTATGGTTGGTTTCTGTTTTTATATGTTTTTATATGTTATACTTTAAGCATGTTAAACCAAAACTATATGGAGATGAAAAAATCAGAAGGAAAAGAGAATCCAGTGGTTTACTTTTCTCAAATTCTTGTCTTTTTATCCATAGTTTTCACATTTTGATATTCATATAGAACGGTGGTTGGGATGAATATTCTTGTTTCAAAGAATTAATTAATCATGGTTGTTCTAATTTTGAAGAATTATAGATAAACGGGTATAACACATGATCACATACTCTAAATTCCAAAAGGTGTACGATAATGCATTGAAAAACTTGTTGAAGCCGATATCAAAATATGGATTTTGAGCGGTGAAAAAATGTAAAACACAATTGAAAAACTTGTTAAGGTTAAGATTTTTATCAGGAAGGAATTGATGCACTGAAAGAGGTGATTTGCCAAAGGTATCTATCTTTAAGTAAATTACTTTTTGGTCCCTGAGTTTGTTCAAAAAATGTATTTTTAATAGTTTTCTCCTGCAGTTTTAGTAACTAAACAAAGGGACTGATATGTAATTTCATATTCAAACGCCATATAGAGAAAAAGAAGTGTTAAAAAATTAGAACAATGACTCCAATTATTTCATTTAAAAGATTACAAAAAATAAGGGTGGCTTTCGTCTCTTCTCCAGCACATTTTTTACAGACAAAAGGAACAATTCAGTGATGGAGTCGGATATAGGTGGATTGATGGTTTGAAGGATCATGCAAACCAACATGTCATTCAGTCATTTCTTAATTGTTATTCAGCATCACATCTAAGAAAAAAGGGTAAAATACTCATTAATTTACTCTTGTTCAAATGGTTTATGATGTCAAGAAAGAGTCTTTGTTCTGTTCATACAATCAGACATTCAACATTTCATCTGATGAAAAAGAAAACAATGACCGACCCTAAGACAATTATTTTTGCAGGTTACTGATTCAATGCTAACAAATGCAACTTTTTTAATCCCGAAAACACCCCTATGACAAAAGAAGGGTACTACTATCGGACAATCTTTGAAAAGTTCTTCCCAAAGGTGGGTCCACTTTACTTTTTTGCTTATGTTTTCTTTTAGCATAACCCTAAACCCCGTGTAAAAGACTCTTCTTCCCAAAGGTGGATCCACTTAATTCCTCAACTTCTTTGAACCTAAGATGTATATAAATCTTTCTATCGTTATTAAAAAGTCTCTTAGGATAATCATTAATGACTTGTATATAGATTGTCTTTACCATGAGACAAGGGGTTCTTGTCTTTTATGATTATAAATTTGCTCATTTAAGATGTCGTTTTTGGTGTTTAATGTGCTAATTTATACCTATATAAACCTCAATTCGGTACAAGGAAACGTGTAATTTGATGCAACTCACCATCAAATTGATGAGAGTAGACCTAACAATTGGTATTATAGCCATGTGATACTTCGATTACTAACCAAACAGAAAAGGCTATTGACATTGAGGAGCTGGAACTGAAATTTTGTTGGTGTATATGAGATAGTATGATTAAGAGGGTAAAATACAATAGGATGTGTTGTCTAGTATTGCTGATATAAAAGCCACCATGCACATATTTTCTATGGAAGCATGATGGCATGTCGTTCAGAAACTACATTTGTGCATAGTATGGCATCATGTGGAATAGTGTCGCTTTCAAATTTCTTTTTGGTTCTCTCATGCTTTGTCACTTGATATCTACTCATGGGTGGATAAGATCCATACATAGTGAAGACCCCTATGTGATTTAAACCTGTATCAATAAACCTAATATGCTCGATAGCCCACATATATCTTTCTTCATAGTTTTTAAAAATATTTGGTAATCAGCATTTAGCTAATGAGCAATCAAATTTTACTCTTTTTTTGTAGGAAAATAGGCAAACCAAGCACCCACAATTGCTTTATGAAGCCAAACTATACAATTATCTCCAGTGAATAGGTAAGTTAATGTAACATTTGCTTTGCTTAAGCACAAATATATACTTATATACAACATGTTCTCTAATTCTACTTCTTACTTTCATATCCTGCAGTTGGAATTGCTAGCATCCATTGGTCTGGGGTTGATGTTCAAGACAATGTTCTTGTTCTTGACCTTCTTGGGCCTAGTCTTGAGGATCTATTTGTGTATTGTGGAAGAACATTCTCATTGAAGACAGTTTTAATGTCAGCTGATCAAATGGTAAAATCTTTAAAGATATGCTTTAATTACCTTTCATCCATAACTTTTGGATAATAAATAGTCTGCACCAGTCAATTTAGTTCTAAATATTAGTTTGCAATAATCTTTCCACAGCTTACAAGAATAGAACTGATGCAAGCTAAAGGATTTCTGCATAGAGACTTGAAACCAGATAATTTTCTCATGGGTCTAGGCAGGTAAGCAAATCAGGTAATTTCCACTGTTATATATCCTAAAATACAACCTTATGTGATGTGGCTTTATAGTGAATATTATGATGTATGCTAATAGACTATCTACTAACTTCACAGATTGTTTTTATCAGGTCTATGTTATTGATTTTGGACTTGCTAAAAGATACCGTGATCCCACCACAAGTTGCCATATTCCCTACAAGTATGATTGTCTTTTATTATTGTGTTCATATCCTTCTTTTTATATGTTGTTGTGGTTTTTCCTATATTTTATTGGTTCTTATATATATTTTTCTTACCATACATATCTATACAGAGCAAACAAAAACTTGACAGGGACTGCATGTTATGCTAGCTGTAATACCCATTTGGGAATTGGTATGCAATCATTTCTGCATAAATCTTTTTACAATTTGATATTTTTATTTGCATTTTCTCTTATACAATATTTTCTTTTTTTATAAATTCAGAACAAAGCTGGCGTGATGACTTGGAGTCTCTGGGCTATGTTTTCTTGTACTTTTTGAGAGGAATGTATGTGCTTAAATATTTTAATTGAGTATGTTGTGAAATCTAAAAAAAATGAGCTTCTTGTTTTTATTTATTTTTTGCAGTCTTCCATGGCAGGGTCTAAAAGGTGCAACAAAGAAGCAAAAATATGACAAAATATGTGAAAAGAAAGTATCGACTCCTATTGAGGTATTTGTGAAACAATATACAAAAAATAACTTTTTTTATAGGGATAGTTGGCTACTGCTAAAATAACTGTCATATTTAAATTGTTTTAGTGGACTATGAAAATCATTTTCAATTTGTTTGACAGGTTTTATGCGAGAAGGTATATCCTTTATTCATATAATACAATATTATAGAAATTTAACAACATTTATGTTGTAAAATTTGTATAACATTGTATCTGATGTTTAAATCATGATATTGTTTTTTGATTAATATGATGTTCTACTTAGTTCAGGATTTGATTTTGATTACGTATTTGATTGGACAATCTTAAAGCATCAGCAGACAGAAAAGAATAAACCACATAATCATTCAACTGTTAGTGTTTTCATTACCATTTGTTCTTTACGATTCTAATAGCATTTACTTTTATGAATATTGAATAATTATTTATTGATTTCTACTCTTCTTTTCCCCATTAAAATGTTGTGTTTTTGTTCGTCACAATCTTAGGATCTAATTGACTTATGATTATAACATTTTAATACTAATCCTTGTTTCAGTCACTCATGGAATCTAACAAGGCGTTGGCAGAAACAAATAACATGAAATACATGTTTTGGAGCTTGAATTCCAAAGTGTCAATGATTCGATGATGAGTTGGTTCTAAGACATTGTTGCCCGGTGTCGATTTCTCTGTTTTCTGTTCGATTTGGTTAATTTCTATGAAGATGGTAGCTTACATTAGCAGATCTATTAATGATCGTCCTGGATGTTTGACTTTGAGATGCCCAATTCCATCCTGTGGTGCTGCTGTAGATGTGGACATGGTCAATATGAATTGGGCAAATACCATAAAAGCCACCATATTTTCACACGTTTTTGAGAAAAAGCCCTATTATTTTTTTATTTTTTTGGTTGGCTCTAGCCACAAATTGGACATAAAGTTACAACTCTAGCTCATTTAACGATTTTCATGGTTAACTCTGTTAATTTTTTTTTCAAAATCAGTCCAAAAAGTTCAAATTTGGTCCCTGTAGTTTGCAAAAATTTACACAACATGTCCAAAACTCGGTTTTATGTTTTTTAGCTTCTTTATTTTTATTTATTTATTTTTTAATCAAATCTAAACTTGCTTTTATATATTTTATAACTTTTTTTATATTTTTCGTTCTTTTGTTTTTGGTTTATATATATATATATATATATATATATATATATATATATATATATATATATATATATATATATATATATATATTAACTTCTTTTCTTTTTTCTTTTTCTTTTTCGTTTTTATATTCATTTATTTTTCATATTTTGTATATTTTTTTTCTTTATTTTCATTTTTTTCGTTTTTTCGTTTTTCTTTATTTTTGATAAAATAAATTTATGTTTTGTTTTTCTTCAATTTGAAAACTTCTTTTGATATTTATCAAAAAATTTAAAGTGTCTGAATATATTTTTTATATTTTCGTATTAGTTTCGTATTTTTTTTTTGTTTTTTTTTCGTATTTTTGTTATGTTTTGTTTTTCGTCAATTTGATAATTTCTTTTGATAACTTTTTAGAAAGTGCAAGGTGTATCAATATATCAGAGTATATTACATTTTTGGTGTTTGAGTTTTTTTTGGATTTCTAAAAAAAATGAAAAAACGAAAATAAAGAAAAAACAAAAAAAATGAAAAAAAATTATAAAAGATATGAAAAATAAATGAATATAAAAAACAAAAAAAAAGAAGTTAAAAAATAAAAAAAACAAAAAAAAAAAGAAATAAGAATGAAAAATATAAAAAAAATTAAAAAAATATAAAAGCAAATTTAGCTTTGATTAAAAAATAAAAAAATAAATGAAAATAAAGAAATTAAAAAACATAAAACCGAGTTTTCGATATGTTGTGTAAATTTTTGCAAACTACAGGGACTAAAATTGAACTTTTAGAATTGATTTTGCAAAAAATTTAACAGAGTTAACCATGAAAATCGTTAAATGGGCTAGAGTGGTAACTTTATGTCAAATTTGTGGCTAGAGCCAACCAAAAAAATAATAATAGCGTTTTTCTCAAAAACGTGTGAAAATATAGTGGCTTTTATGGTATTTGCCCATATGAATTAGTAAATTTCCAAACTACCCCTTCACCCTTGTTACATGTTATTTGTCTCTTTGTACATATCTTTCTTGGAGAAAGCCCCGATTAATTTTAATCCATTTAAAATCACAAAAAGTGTCCACTTTGTAAGGACAGGGACCATTTATGTAAAAATTAATAATATAAGTGAGTTGTTGTTTATGAATATGTGACTCAGCTAAATACGGATTGGTTTCCACCTGCTAATGCATCCTTGAAAAGGGTGGTTATTCAGAGACTGGTGTATGATCTCCTACAACAACCTTATGATGAAGCTGAAGCCTTTTACAAAGTATTTTCCCAAGTAAGTGCAAAAAGATTTCTTTTGGCAAAGTTTCATATCAATTTTGATCCTTGTGTTAACTTTAACAGCCCTTTTGTTAAATTAATAAATATGACTGTTTTGCTCTTATCCGATTCTTGGATTTTATATTTCATTGGATGCTTGCAGCTTTGACCAGCCTTTTGAAGAAGTTATATATCCAAAAGAGGATGTTGATGCTGTTTCCATTAGTAACAGAGACGTTGATTTGCTGCTACCAGACACATTTGTCAATGACACCATCATTGACTTTTATGTCAAGTATGTTTATCTTACTTATTTGATGGAATAAATTACTTTCATAACAATCCATATTAAAAAATATAAAAACTTAAATGTACATCAGACTAAAAGTCTTTACATATGAAATTGTATTATGAATTTCTAACTGATGACAGATACTTGAAGAACAAAATCAGCAAAATGAAGCCACTTGATTTAAATCTTGCAACATTATTAACAAAATGCAGTAAAGACTTGGAGTTGAATTTGGCTAAGTCATTATTGAGTGAGATGGGCCAATGTACAACTTCTTATCCATATAATCAACTATTTTGAGCATTAGTCTTAAAGAATTATGAAAGGAAATACGCAACTTTACTTAGTTGGAATTTGATGTACATAGTAGATTAGGTGCAAATTTATATATTGTAAGAAATAGAATTGTATGACATTAGATTTATGCAATGGATTCTATTTTTTTTATATATATTTTATTTTCTATTATGAAACATTAAATACAAATTTAATTTGAAAAAAAGTAAATATATAAATAATATATTTTTTTAAACATTTAAAATTATGATACGCAAAATGTGTGTCATCTTCATTTATGACATGGCCTTTCTTGACAGGGGCTTTCTTGATACGCATTGTGTGTCATTAACACGCGCGTCGTAAGGTTACGACACGCGAATGCGTGTCGTCTTCCTTTATGACAGGGCCTTCCTTGATACGCATTGCGTGTCGTAAACGCTCGTCGTAATTGCACGTCGTAAATGAGCGTCATAAATGCGTGTCGTCTATAGACGACGCGCAAAAGCACGTTGTCTCTCTTTATGACAGGGCCTTCCTTGACACGCATTTGCACGTCGTCTGAGCCTTTTACGACGCGCAATGAGTGTCGTAAAAGGCTGTTTTTCTAGTAGTGGTTTATATATTGCAGAATGGTGGTACTACGATCGAGGCCAGTAGTTGGCAGTTCAGGAGAGGGATCAGGTTCGGGATCAGGTTCCGAGCTAGGGGATGAGAGGCTATGCGAGTTCATCGCGTCAGATATCACCAGGGGCATCCTTGAGTCGACTCCCATTATCTTCGGGTCGATCAAGGAAGGGATAGTTGAGTTGATGGAGGATCGCCTCAGGGCATTCAGGAGCGACATAGCATATGGCCAGCCGGGATCTCGCACGCTGTCCTTTAAGGACTTCAGGGGCACCGGTGTGCCAGACTTTCATGGGGCGAAGGACCCCATAGCTGCCAGGCGGTGGATTGCAGACATCGAGTTTGCACAGTTGACTAGCTTCTACCCCGAGGGGTCGAAGGTGAGATACGCAGTAGGGTGTTTGAGAGACAGAGCTAGAGACTGGTAGGAGTCTGTGGGTGACTCATTGGGAGCCTCGACTATCAAGGCTATGACCTGGTCAGACTTTGTGACTAGGTTCAGGGAAGATTTTGCACCAGCTGTCGAGCTTCAGCAGCTGGCCAGGGAGTTTTTAGATATGAGGCAGACCACGGAGACCGTGGCGGAGATCACCGCCAAGTTCCGGGAGAGGGCATTGTTAGTGCCCCAGTATGCAGGTGATGAGGATATGAGGCGGACCCGCTACCACGACATGCTACGGGCTGACATCCGGGAACATGTTAGTTTTTCAGCTTGCCCTACCCTGGATTCCATGATTGCCAGGGCTAGGGAAAAGGAGATTGATCTGGAGCATATCCGGAAGAGGAAGGCAGGGGAGGGATAGGTTACAGGGGCTTTGGGGAAGAAGCCCAAGGGATCAGATGCTGGGCCAAAAGGCCAACAGGGGCGAGGCCGCTGTAGGAAATGCGGAAAGACGCACGAAGGAGCGTGCAAGTTGGGATCATCAGGCTGCTATAAGTGCGGCAAGTTAGGGCATTTTAGCAGGGATTTACTGCCCCTGCACCTGTCTTCTCGACGTCCGAGTTGCTGTGCTTCCACTGCAACCAGAGGGGCCACAAGAAGGCCAATTGCCCCCAGTTGACAGCAGTTTCTGCGCCAGTAAATGCGCCAGCTCCAGCGACCTTGCGGATCACTGATGGCCGACAGGGCAAGGTAGAGGCTCCAGTGGTGAGGAGCCGGGCATTCCAGTTGACTACCGAGGAGGCACGCGCCGCACCCGATGTGGTGACTGGTATGATTCTTTATTTATGCTTTTATGTTATGCTACTGTAATGTTGATATGTTATATGTATGTGCTCTGCTTAGGATCGTTCCATGTGAAAAATATACCAGTTCAGGTGTTGTTCGATTACGGGGCTACCCGATCATTTGTTTCTCCTGCGCTTAGCAAGAATTTTCCTGAGTCTTCGGGCAGGTTGGATTGCCCTTTAGAGGTGGAGATTGCCGACGATCGATCGGTGCGAGCATCAGAGGTTTTCCGGGATTGTGTATTGAGATTGGTTGAGGAGCGTTATCTGGTGGATCTGGTTCCCATACCTTTGCGGGGGAACAAGGTTATTATCGGTATGGATTGGTTAATCCCCAATAGGGCAGTGATAGACTGTGCGCAGCAGCTAGTGCGAGTTAGAGCCCCAAGTGGGGGAGAGTTGGTGATTCAGGGCGAGAGACCACAGTGAGGGCCAGCCTTATGTTTGGCGGTGAAGGCAAGGCGCTACCTCCAGCAAGGTTGCGTAGGTTATGTCGTGTATGTTATGGATACCCAGGAGGCGGGTAGAACGACGGTGGACGAGGTACCCGTAGTACGAGAGTTCGCGGATGTATTCCCCGAGGAGCTGCATGGGATACCTCTGGAGCGCCAAGTGGAGTTCAAGATCGACCTAGTCCCTGGTGCGGCTCCAATAGCCAAGGCACCCTATCTCTTGGCTCCTCCCAAGATGCAGGAGTTGTCTACCAGGTTCTGATGGAGGAGGCGCATAAATCCTGGTTCTCTATTCATCCCGGGGCGACGAAGATGTATAGGGATCCTCGTCTAGACTATTGGTGGCCCTGCATGAAGCGGGGTGTGGCTTGGTACATTAAGCGGTGTTTGACCTGCAGGAAGGCCAAGGCCGAGCACAGAGACCGCACGGCAAGATGCAGCCGTTGGACATCCCGTTGTGGAAATGGGAGGATATTACGATGGATTTTATCACAAAGCTTCCCAGGACTGTGCGAGGAGTGGATTCGATATGCGTCATCGTGGATTGATTGACCAAGAGCGCCCATTTTATTCCAATTCAGGAGAGCATATCGGCCGAAAAGTTAGCCGACATCTATATCAGGGAGATAGTGGCACGGCACGGGGTGCCAGTATTCGTGATTTCAGATAGGGATGTGTGTTTTACTTTCAGGTTTTGGAAGAAATTTCATGATGAGTTGGGCCCTCGTCTGCATTTTAGCACCGCTTTTCACCTGCAGACACATGGTCAGAGTAAGCAAACCATCCAGACTCTAGAGGATATGTTGCGGGCATGCGTGCTAGACTTTGGTGGTAGCTAGGATACCTGTCTTCCTTTAGCTGAGTTCTCGTACAACAACATCTACCACACGAGTATTGATCGACCTCCCTTCGAAATTTTGTACGGAAGGAGGTGTCGGACCCCGATATGTTAGGGTGAGGTTGGCCAGAGGGTGATGGGGAGCACCGATGTAGTGCTCAAGACGATCGAAAAGATTCAGCAAGTTCGGAGCAAGCTTTAGACTGCACAGAGTTGGCAGAAAAGTTATGCCGACAAGCGCCATTCAGACTTGGAATTCCAAGTCGGGGATATGGTTCTACTGAAGGTGTCGCCATGGAAAGGCGTCATCCGATTCAGAAAATGAGGCAAGTTGGGCCCAAGGTACATCAGACCGTTCAGGGTTGTAGCCCGGGTGGGCAAGGTGGCGTACCGGCTGGATCTGCCAGTCGAGCTCAGTCAGATCCACAACACTTTCCACGTCTCTCAATTGCGGAAGTGCCTAGTGGACGATATGGCGGTGGTACCCTTGGAGGACATTCAGGTTGATGGCAGCCTGAACTACATCGAGCGGCCTGTAGCGATCCTTGACCGGAAGTCAAAGGATCTAAGGAACAAAAGAGTAGAACTCGTGAAGGTGCAATGGCAGTATCGGAAGTGGTCGGAGTGGACTTGGGAGCCGGTGGATGAGATGATGGAGCACTACCCCGAGCTGTTTCGGGATCGTGCAGCAAACTTCGAGGACGAAGTCTAAAATAAATGGGGGAAATTTGTAGCGTCTGCTTCTTGGTACATACTCTGTTATTAAATCTTCATTTATTTTTGCATTTTTTTAGCCTTGGACTCGGCGAGTCGAAGGACTGACTCGCCGAGTAGAAGTGGGATGAGGCGCGGGGTTTGAGCTGCGAACTCGATGAGTCGGGTCCTGGACTCGGCGAGTAGCCGCTGTTTGGACAAAAACCCTAATCCAGGGGTTTGCACCCTATTTAAATGACCTTATGCAGCCTCATTTCCCCCTTTATGCTCCCAAACGCTCCTCATAGCAAACCCAAGCCGTTTTTGTAAAGATCTAAGGCATTTTGAGTGATTCTTGTGAGTTTTGATCTCAAGGAAGAAGGAAGAGCATAAAAGGATCAAGAGGGGACTGAAGGATTCGAGTTGGGTTCATCATTTGCAGTCTTTGGAAGGTATAAAGTCTGAACCTTGCTCATTCATTTGTTAGATCCCTCTTTGAGGTGATTTAGGGCTTTTTAAGCCATTTTTGGTGGCCAACCATGTTCGCAAACATGGTTGGGGGTTTGGGCTTCTGTATCACATCATTTTATGAGCCACAAGTCAGATCTAGGTTGCTTTTTGCACCAAGGAAGGCCCCATGCAACAAAAGAACCATTTTAGAGCCTTTTTAGCTCTTATGTCCCATGCATGCACGTAAAGTTTGTAACTTTACGTGTTAGATCGAGTTTAGGGGCCTGGATCTATCATTTGGTTAAGTGTTGTACATCAGAAATCAAAGTTCTTGGTAAGGAATGAGATAGGCTCGGCGAGTCCATTCTTGGACTCGGCGAGTCCAGGGTTTTGGTCCCATATCAGTGAGGGTCGTAAGGACTAGTTGAGTGTGGAAGGGTTTTTAGGAGTCCCGGGGAGTGACCCAACGTTCTGGACTAAGCAAAGTGTTCTGGGAATTCATTGTACTCGGCGAGTGCATGAACGGACTCGTCGAGTCGAAGGCAATATTCATGGTACTCGACGAGTTGTTCATACAACTCGGTGAGTCAGATGTGGATTCAATCGGTGTTCTTTTAGAAGGAAAACTCATCGAGTCATCGCCTAACTCGACGAGTAGTGACGAGTTTGAGGTCTAATGGAAGGATAGGGACTCGGCGAGTCAGGTCAACTCGAAGCTGACTTTGACTTTGACTTGG